AGCAACAGCAGCAACAGCAGCAACATCAGCAACAGCAGCAACAGCAGCAACAGCTGCAACAGCAGCAACAGCAACAGCAACAGCAACAGCTGCAACAGCAGCAGCAACACAAACAGAAACACACACACACACACACGACCGATAGCATCAACAATAACAAAAGCAAGCACAATAATAACGATAAAAAGTAATATAACCAAGCATCACAAGAAGCAGAGCAACAGCAACAGAACAAACACGACAGCAGCAGCAGCAGCAGCTGCTGCGACAAGAAGAACAAGAACAAGAACAACAACCAACACATAGTGTTGTTGAGTCTGGTCCATCTGCTGTGCACCTAAATTCCCGGGGCGGGAACACTCACAAGATATACTCCTTGCGCTTCACCTCAAATTCAGAGAAAAAAACACAACTAAAACAAGAGATTCCAGGTTTCCTGCAGCGTCCATGGCTGGCAACCCGGCGGGCAATTTCCCGCCAATTCGAAAGCTATGCACTGCGTGGCAATCGCGGATTAGCGCACTACTGCTGTAAAAGGCTCCAACCGATTCAGCAAGAACACGGGGATGTCTTGGTACTTCATGGGAGCTTACAAGGGCGCACGTCCTCTTTGCATGAACAGTGTGACTCGCGGGCGCATTTGTCTGTTCAAATAACTGGCAACGTGGAGTGGTGTTGGCTCATTCAACTTAGGCGAAGCGTTCGCGTGAGCAGTGCTCAAAAGCAAGCTTTACTCTGAGCAGCCACCCAGCAAACAATGAACCACGCCACCTTTACACAACATTAACCAACACAATACATACATGTGGCAGCCTGCAGCCACAACGTTGTCACCATACATCATGTTCCCCCCGGACGCACACCGCATGCCAGCAAAGGCAGCATCGATAAACACTCGGCCAGGCGAACGCCAGAGTCCACGCGCCCTTGATTTGGACCCCAGTGAAAAATGTCCAAGCTTTTTGTTTACCAAAGTTTGGCCATGGCCGTGCCCCCAGTGAACATCCCAATCCAACAACTAAAATAGGTTCTAAAATGGGTGGTGCACCTACCAACCAAAATGGGATACCATTGGTTTTGACCCACAGCCGTTTCAAGTCCAGGAACTTGGGGAGGTCTCAAAAAAACTTGGCCGTGAGCCGCGTGAGCTCCGGTTCGCCCGAGCCGACAGACATCTGGCGATTGAATTAAGCCGACCATGCGGGTAGATGGCACTCGCAAGGTCCTATGTCGGGCTTCTCGGCTTTCTGTCCTAATGTTTACCCCATATATTGATCGATCCCAGTTTTTATTGATTTGAGGGGGGGGGTAGCCTTCGTCTGATTCCCCACAAATTACTCAGGGACACCCCGCTAGTACTAAGCTGGGGCTAACTTGGGTTGATTGATATGGGGTCAACGTTACTCAGAACCAGTTTGGGCCCAACAGGCGGTCACGTGAAAGGAGCCACTAACAACTAAAGGGGAAACCAAAAAGTCATTTCATCGCTCGATACGCCTTGCAAGTGAGCCCAACATTCGCGAAATAGTACTGCAATACACAGCAGGTCTGGCGCTAGAGCCACACAATGGTTGGTGTCTGACCCCCCTGCAACAAGTTCGAATTGAGCAAATTGCTGAGAAACTATGAAGCTAAGTGGAAGGTGAAAGCTAAACAGCAAGGGAACCCAGCTGCTGCACCGGCATCAGCTGTGAAGAAGCTATCAGACGCCCTCGTTCGGCTCGTTGAACTACAAGGGAAACAAGGGCCGATTCCGTGGAGAATTCAGGAAAGGCTTGCCCCAGGTAAACAACTTATGGTAGGGAACCCCCTGCCAAAACGCCGCAAGTGGAAGCAAAAGGGAATGACTTGTTTATCACTTTTGACGGGCTTTTGGTATCACAGAAAGTGACGCCTTAGAAACCAAAAAATGAGCGTCTGGGTGTCAACACAGCGGGTCTGTCAAAGGATGAACCCCCGTTTGGCTTCTTTTGTGAATGAAACCATATGGTTGCGAATGGTCTCTATAATTACAACCATGGAGTGAGATTTTTAGGATGCGGCCAAGCTCTTGCCATCTTCCTTCACCCTATAACCGCAAGGCCGACCGCGAGCTTTCAAAACGCCAGGGCGAGGTACCCTTCGCAGATCTTGGTTGTCTGCGAGGCAGCGTTGCTCCAGAAAACCCTCGGATGAGGGAATCAAGTTTCAGATACGGGTTCACAAAAAAGCCCGTGAAACACGAATGCCATTTGGTGGTGAGATATTTGGCTTGAAAACAGACACAGCATAGAAATCGTGAACGCAATCCGTCGATCCATTGTTCAGTGGTAAAGACAAAATGTCCAATTCCAGCTCCGTTGCGATGCGTCCAACCAAACATCTAACACCAGCCAGACACTGCGTTTCCCTGGCGTTTTCCCTGTTTTTTCTACGGCACTGGGACCAACGCTGCCCGCCCTGGCCCTAATTGCCTACGGTCTCGAGGACCAAAACGACCTACCCAGTGGCTCCTCCGCCTGGCAGGACTCCCTTTGCTGCCTCCTGCAAAAAAACATACATCTAGGGGTTGACTCCAACCATTCTTTTCTGCTGGGTTTACTTACCACTAAAATGGTCTTCCCAAAAAGATTACAGTCCAGGGACTCAGGAAGTGAGTAGTGATAGATTCATATAGATTCCGGGTTTTCTAAAAAAGAACAGGGGATAATAACACACATTCTGAAATGCGAATGAAAGGCAAGGACATTAATATCGCAAAACTCCCTCGAATCTATTACTTCAGCTTCCCTCTGATTGGCGATTTGGATTGCTTGCAGGTTACGGGCTGGTTCACATTCACCCTCCACAAAAGCCTGCGACCCGTTCAGATCCCAAAAGTTTACCAACTAAGAGTTCCCCGAAGACTGGTCCGCTGCCTAAGTTGCCACTTTGCTGGTCACAAGTTCACCAGTGCACCCCAGCAGGCAGTAAACCTATTGGCGTCGGTGGGTGCCGCTGGGTGACAAGACATGGACCAAATCCACCGACCCCAGAGAGCGAACCACATGCCAACGATTGCATGGCGCCTCGAACAGCACTGCCCGAAGAGCACCTCAACCAACACCTGAAACAGCATCCCAAAATAGCACCTGCACAAGGATCCCCAAATTGCATAGCCCCTAGCATCCTGCGTCAATCTCGCAAGACACGCCTCGCGTGCCCCCCGGCCCCCCCCACAACAGCACCCCCGCGCCCGCCACCAGCCCGCCAGCACCTCAGCACCCTGCCATCAATCGCAAAAGCACGCTCCGAACAGCACCCTCAAAGACGCAAAGAGCACTCCCCAGATTGCCAATCTTGCAAAATACCAGTCGATCTCGCAAGAATGCGGCCGCAGCGTCACCAGCACCTCAAACAGCGCCCCCAAACAGCACCCCAAAACAGCACCCACACCACCACCCCAAACTGCCAAACTACATGCCCGCTGGCCCCCAGCTGATCTCGCAAATAGCTTTCCCTTCATAAAAGTTAGAACCCCATAGCTGTCAGCTATCTGGGAAAAAGGCAAAAAACAACAACCATCCAAATTCACCAGGTTGCTATCAACGCCATGTCCTGGTTTTGCACCGCTGACTCATATATATATATATATATATATATACATATTATCAAGCTTCAGCCATCGCGTATCATGTGGGTGAAGGTGGTCTTGCCACAAATGGCAAACTATATCTTGTTGACCCTTTGAGTGAGCGTCTGGCCTCCACCTGTCGATTTGGATAGACAAAAAAGAACGCATAGGAACAAACAAATGCACAAAGACCAACGTCACCAGGTCGCCCAGCGCTGGTAAAGGGATGAAACCCCAAAGGCTTCACAAATTTTGGTGACCGGCCCCTTTTGTCCAGGTTTCACAAAAAGGGGTTGAAAACACATAGCACTGAACTGGAGAAAAGTTCTGAAGTAAGTAGCTCCAAATGTGGATGGTTCGTGTTGTTTTGAGTCAGTTGTTTATTGGGTTTTGGTTTAAAGGGTGACCAAATGGAAGACCGAGTCCATTTTGGGGGGGTCCCCATGCGCGCCTGCTGAGCCAAAGATCGATGAGCCTTTGAATGGTTACCTTCCTGTCCAACATAAAACGCACCAGGAAATGGTCTCATGCTTCAGGAAATGATTTTTCCAAACCAGGACCCCCGAACCCGTGACCATCAGGTTCCCCATCGTCAACGTGAATGGGCTCGGTAATGGAAAGTCGCCAATTGTCAATCTAAAAGCTGTGAGGGGAAACTCGGCAACCAAAAGTTACGCCAACTTTTGGGTCCAAGTCGGAACATCCGCAAAGTTTGAACCAAAAGTTCAAGTCCAAAGACCCAAACCAACATTGACCAGCCAAGCGTGCTCAGTCAAAAGCTGGGTTCCGCCATCCCGGAGGTCCTGTCTGCCCAACCGCTGGAAAAAGGGAGGTTCCATGTGTGGTTGCTCTCAAGCCAAAGCTCCTTGGCCAACCCAGCCACTTGGATGTTTGGCAAAGTTAGTGTCTGTGGTTCGCCACTTGGGTATTTTCCGCCCCCTAGCAAGGTTCACGGGGACTGGGGTAGTTAACCTAGGCTGCCGTGACAACTTCCTTGGCCCTTACCCAAGTAGGCTGACCTGGCTGTCGGCTACCTTTTTGAGCGCGGAACCCAACCAATCCCAGTTGAGCAGTGCCCAAACATGACCTGTTAGTTCTGCCGCGCTCTTCAGGATTTATAGCAAATCCACTTTTCATGTCTTTGTTGGAGGCCCCCCCCCCTTAACAAGGGCTTTTTTCCCATGTCCAACATCCGCTTAGTGCTGTCCAGTGGTTGGAGTGGGGGGTCGAGAACATGCACCAGCTGAAGCCGCAATTGAACAACAAGGAACATCTTAATTATCTACTGTAGAATTAAGTAGGACCAGCTAGTTTCGCAGGCGGGTAAGAAGATGAGGGCTACAGAAAATGCAAAGGCGACACATGGCCGGGGTTTGGGAACCGTTCCAGCTACTCACTAGCTCCTTTCGGGGCCTGAAAGCAAGAGGCGATCACTATTGGAGCCTTTACCAGCTTGGGGGGACCGAACAGGGAAACCCAAAACGCTTAAAAGCAGCGATTCAGGCGGAAAGCCACCTCACTCGGCCATGTCGAGCACTGTCTGCCTGCAGAGGCTTTCTTTTGGTGAACCAAACCCCAAGTGAGTTTTCATGAGAAGCAAGAATCGCCTCTATGTGTGTGCTTATTTTGTTTTAGATGTTTTCTTTGCGTGTGTGGAGTTTTTTTTTAAGAGGCCCACCCCGTCCTCAAGCGCCTCAAGTTGAACGGAGGAATTCACCACTGAAGGATGGGAAGCCTACCATTAAGAGCGCCGAATTCAGTCCAAGACCCCAACCGAATGGACCTGTTTGGCTTCCAATTCAATACCCAAATTACTCCATGTATGCAACATGTCTACCCGCGGTCACCCTCATGGGTCGACTGTCGCTTCCATTTGCTTAAGACCCCCGGGGAAAAACAACCACAGACTTCCAGTGATAGATTCCCCCTTTCCAGCTACAACCAACAAAGGAACAACAAAAGCAAATGAAAGGGTGGTATATTTTGGGCACAGGGACTGTGTGGGATATTGCGACACCGAAAAGGGCAAAGGGCCCAAAAGTCAAAGCAAGCTGCCTTTGGCAGAAGCAGGTGCAACGCAACAAGCCGCTAGCTGTAACCCACTTACTTCAAACTAGCTGACCGGAATTTCCAACGTAATGTTCATGTAGGATTCCGGAAAACAGTTCACACTTCAAAGGCATTCCCACTGAAAGTGGCATCCAACCGAAACATATTTCCCAGCCATGCAAAATGCATGAAAGCATAAGCTGTAAGGGAACCCTTTATACAAGGATTACACATCCAAACTCAAACCCATTCCGGAGCTTTGACATCGCATTGAGACCACGGCTGGAAGGCTTGGAACAAACGCTCAAATGTGGATCTCAATCAATCGTTTTATTTGAGGATATGGCTGTGGGTCCAACAATAGGTACCCAAAATGGGGCAATTGGAAACAAACAAGGCTTAGTTTTGGCCTGAACCACCCTTTTCCTTGAGGAAACACCCTTTTGGTTGGATTGTTCGTTTGAAGCAGCCCATCTTGGCGCTTGCCCCTCCCCGAAAAAAAGAACAACAACAACAACAAACATGTTTTTTTAGCAACCCATCTTGGCGCTTGCCCCTCCCGAAAAATAAAAATAAAACATCCTCGAGTGGTTTCAAAGGGCAGGAGAGACAACATGGAGGGGATACCGGGTTTCCGCTTGGTGCTTGAGCTCTCGGGGCGTTGTGTTCCTCCGTTCCTCCTCCCAAAGCCACCCAAAGGAAGCGGGCCCCCTCCAAAAGAAATGGAAAAGGATGCAAAAAGCGAGGTCGGACTTGCATGTGCTTGAAGCAAGACGTAACTTTGTTGCCCCTTTCGGCGGAACAAAAAACATGACCGGCGTTTTGGGCGACAACACACTGAACCAAAACACATGAAACCATTTCAGTGGGTCCCAGGCGTTTCGCCCATATAGTAGGTCACCCTTCGCTAGTGTCATTTTGGTTTTGAAGGGTGTGGTTTCCAGCCCTTGGTTACCCACAAAAGCCAGGTAAGGGGCGTTCCCTTTACCTGCAAAACCAGGTAAATGGATTTTAAATGAACGGAACCCGCCAGCTTGCGAAGTGAGTTTTCTTTTTCTTATTTCTTATCAAAGCCGCTGCAGGGACTCCACGGTCTGCGTCAAGGCCAGGATGGAGGATTTGATCTCCTCCAGCTGATTGCCCGCCTCCAGTCGCGTTGTTCATCTACCCCCGAAAGAGCTCCACTAGGTCCTCCAGTAGAGAGGTTAGAATAAGGGACCCTTTTTCTGTAGTCTATTTTAGTAGGGGAACCCTCTCCCAAAGGGTACTACTGGGGGACCTAGTCCAAATACCAGTGTTAAAAAAAAAACGGTTTTCTGGAACATACCCCTCCTCGTGCAGCAATGGGTTGACACAATCCCCCCCCAAAAGTTGGTAATTGGAGTTGGGGGGTGCCTTGACGAAGGGGGTCCGCGACCCAATTCCCATTTTTGCGGGTGACATGGAATTTCAGGGTTCACCTTTTGGTTGCAGAAACGGAAACGGGGCTGCTCACTGCGCCCCCATAGATCTTTTCGCAGGCTTCATGGAAACATGTGTCTTCCAAAGACCCGCTCTTGAGAATTCTTAGCTTTGCTCTTGCTTTTCTTTTTTTACGAAACTGCTTCTTCGGTGGAAGATTGAGGAAATGCATTTAAGACGAAAGATCTGCTGGAATGGTGCAGTCCTCGTTGGGGGGGACTCAAAAGGTAAACCAGTGGAACAACACCATCCGCATGTGGACCTGCGGCGTTGGCCTTAAGGCTTGTGAACCTCTAACAGACTCTAACCCTCGGCTTGGTTTGCAGCGTGCGAGGACGGCGAAGCGACAAGCTTGGCCAAGTTGGCAAGTTGTGCTTCTTGAACTGCGCTGTCCGTTTCCAGATCCCCTCAAAGCTTTCGAGCTTTCAGTACCCCTGAGATCCCTGTCCGCAAGAAACATCAAAGTGCCCATTCCTGTGAGCTGATAGGGGGGGGGGTAAGAAAACGGACACCCAACCAACCAACCCACTAACAACCACGAAAAAAAACACATTTATGGACACTTCTCAGTGTTAGCCTGGGGCCGCCAGGCTACGAGCCCATAAGAAATAAGTTTCGAAAAGGGCAAGTACCAGAACCGAGCCTCAAACTACCCGTTGAACTTACCCACCACAATGTTTGGTTCCAATAAACAACATTTTGAGGGAAGTTTGAGGCTCCAGGCATAAACTCATTTTAAATGTTTCACTTTCTGATCCATCGATCGAGAGCTCACTTTTGAGCTGCAGCGTTCTTCGCTGCGCGGCCCTGTGGCCAGCACTTCTCGCACTCGCAGAAGTCGCGGCACTTCCGCACTCTCGGGGCGCTCGGGGCGCTCGCCGCCGTGGAGGCCGCGGAGGCCGCGGAGGCCGCGGGGTCCGCGGGGTCCGCGGTGGCGGCCTTTGCCTTGGCTTCGGCGGCTCCGGCCGCGGCCGCGGCCGCCTTGATGCGGGCACCCTCGGGCCAGCACTCGGGGCACTCGCAGTGGTCGGAGTGCCCCATGACGGCTGCAGGCGGGCGGCAAAACGGCTTGAACTCAGAATGGCTGCATAGAGAGACAGAGAAAGAGAAAGAGAGAGAGGATAGAGAGAGAAAGAGATAGAGATAGAGAAAGAGAGAGAGGATAGAGAGAGAAAGAGATAGAGATAGAGAAAGAGAGAGAAAGAGAGAGAAAGAGAGAGAAAGAAAGTTGGAGAGAGAGAGAGAGAGAGAGCGAGAGAGAGAGAGAGAGAGCAAGAGAGAGTGATGAGTGGGGCAAAGGAGAAACAAGAGAGAAAGAGCAAGAACAATGAAAACAAATAAACCTGCCAAACCCTCGGCGTTTGTGACTTCCTTCAGTGCCTTTGCCTAGTATCTATGTAAGCAAAGACAGCAAACCTTCGAGGTTGGTGCCACAAGGCTAAGAACAGCAGCAGGGGAAAGCAGTGAAAGGTCCAGTTTGGAGGCCAGAATCACCTGAGTCACACTCAAAACCCGGTATTGAAATGGTCTACCCAGAACCATGTAAAGAACTAAGAAGGCGGATCTCCGCGACATTCCGCAACTACTTCTGGCTACTGGCCCTTCGTAACGTTCATCTACCCGGGCTTTGAGCCAGTGGCTCACCTGGTTTTTGGGAAAACAAATCCACCAGGCTCCGAGGCTCCGAGGCTCCGACACTCACCCGACATGCTGCGCAAAAAGGGGACGAGTTTCGGTTGAACGAGCCAGCGCCGTCACCACAGTCGGACTCTACAGGTCGAAAGCCACGCGCGTTCGAAGGCCCCTTCCAAACAGAGCAGATTGGCTGGTGGGTGAGCGGCTTGCTGGGTCCTGCAGCTACGGGCAACCTGGAGTTCTAGCGGCCGGACTGGGTGCCAGAACTTACCAGGGCCCGCACAGACGACAACGAGCACTCCCTACAAGACTGGCGCACAGGCAACACGGCTGGTCCACGAACACAGCACCGAGCCGAGGGGCCACCAAACCTTCCAAACAACCCATGCACACCAAAGGCCAAGGCTAACAGTCAGCAGGGCCCGGTATGAGTGCACCACCACAGCGTGAGCTCGGAAGGCGCTAGGTGCAAAGGCACCAGTGACAAAGCTCAGGGAAGAAACTGGGAAACACGAGTTGGGCACCAAGCATGGCCTTGGAAAGCTGAATTGTTCAGGAGCGTTGCCCAAATGTTCTGCCCCTTCCAACCGTCTTCAAAGCAAAGAATTCCCCGGCAAATTGGGCATCCCTTGGTTAGATGCCTTTCGGATGCTTCATGCTACATGCATGATGCCTTGGCGCAAGCGATCGGACTGCTAGACGAAATAGAACCCCTGCCTTTTCTAGACAACATTTCTATGGCACTTTTGGAGCGTTTACACAATCTGTTCAGGTTTTCCCTTCTAAAAATAGAATATAACATGAAGTCTTCGGCACGCCAAGCTCCAAAATCCTCCGCAACGGAAATTCACGAAGCCATCCTTTGCCAGCTCGTTTCTGGGCCTGAAGCGTTGTTTGGCTTCGGGCCCCGTTCCGTCCCAACAGTTCCTTGCGTGGCTGCATTCCAGTTTTCTGCAGCACCTTTTTCTCACAAACGCTGCCATGTGTTTGACATATGTCTTTGTTCCTGTTGAGCGTACCCTTTGCAGGTTTGGCTTCAAAGGACACCAACATGACAACCAAATCCTTCTTTTGTTTTGGGGGGGTATCTTAACACAGATCTGTCAGCCGAAGACAGCTCACATCACACAACCAAGAAGGCAGTTCCGCGGGTCACTCACAATGCGTCGAGCTCAGTCTGCACCGAAGTGCTATCACCACCCTTTGACAGGTCGCCCCAAGTCACCAGGGAGCCGTCATCAAGAATGGCCACGAAGGCAGCCCAGGTACCGTGGATCTGCCGGACACGCACCAGCTTCTCTCGCACCTGGCTGCTATCACCCCCAAAGTCAGGATCACCCCAAGTAACCACTGAACCGTCCTCCAAGATGGCAGCAAATGCGCGCAAAGTTGCTTGGATCTGCTGGACCCGCACCAACAGTTCTTGCACCCTGCTGCTGTCACCACCCTTGTCTGAATCGCCCCAAGTCACCACAGAGCCGTCCTCCAAGATGGCAGCAAAAGCATAAATGGTGGATTCGATCTGCCGGACACGCAGCAACTGCCCGCGCACGTGGCTGCTATCACCGCCCTTGGCAGGATTGCCCCAAGTGACCACGGACCCTTCGTCCAAAATGGCAGCAAACGCTTCCGCAGTTGCGTGGATCTGCTGGACTCGCACCAGCTGCTCTTGCACCTGGCTGCTGTCCCCGCCGCACCCTTCGCTGCCCCAAGTTACCACAGAGCCATCTTGCAGAATGGCTGCAAAAGCGAAATCCTCAGACCGCACGCAAAAAAGCTGAGCACCCCAATTTTTGCGATTAACTTCAAAGGAAAGCCCTCCCCCCCAAACAAACCGTCTACTCCAAGAACCCTCGACAGTTTCTGGGTTCTACGCGGAACCCGCGGCCTTTTGAAAAGCATACAAACGTACGGCTACGGTTTCTTAAACGTATAACCAGGTGTTTTGTTGGAAAGCCGTGTTTTTGCTAAGCAACAGGTTCGAAACCCGGTTTTTTCTTGTTTGCAACCTTCGAGCTCCGAACTTTCTTCTTCAAGGCACTCTTGAATACTGTGGATGGACGAAATCGTGCACCACCTAAGAAACCCTGGAATGATGATTCCCCTGTAAATACCAATGAACAGTGGTTTCAACCATGGTTTCCAAGTGGTGCGAAATGGATTTCGTCCATCCACAGTAGGGAAGACACCAACATGGGGGGGGATTTTTTTTAAAAAAAAAACAAAAAAAAAACACAAAAAACACAAAACAGGGAAGACACCGAAATGGGGGGGATTAAACAAAAAAAACGGAGCGCAACCAACCAGAGGCAAATATCACTCACGTCCGAGGCTCGGTGGCCTGGAGGTTTCGCACCTGCACCAAGTGGCTCTGCACCTGTCGGCTGTCCCCGCCGTAGCAGAAGCTCGAGCCCCAGGTCACCACGGAGCCGTCCTGCTTGACGGCCGCGAAGGCCGCCTCCGTCCCGCGGATCTGAGCCTCACGTCAACCAACTCACCTTAAGGACGCAGACCCTCACCGGCTGAGTGGATGGCCCAAAAAAAGTCCGAACTTTATATTTACCACCAGAATGGTCTTCCCAAAAAGTCTAAAGTGCATGAACTCAGGAAGTGAGTACCCCAAAGCTTCCCAATGGGAAGGATTGCTTGAATAAGGTGTGTGGGGTATGCTCAAAAGGTATGTTGAAGGGTTCTTGAATACTGTGAAATCAAGGATCAGGACACTTTTCTCATAGCCCCCCCCAACGCACAATACCCCACAAAGTCGCAACCAAACAGTCAAAGTCCAAAGATACCCAAAGATCCAACCAACTAGCCACACAGAGACGGTGATCACTTCTTGGGTTCGCAACAAAAAACAAAAAAGGCCACCGGCCAAAAGTCAAAAGGTGGATTTGCTTTTTTGAGAAGCGAGGATCGACCCCCACCAGCTCCTCTTGCACGTGGCTGCTCTCACCTCCCTGGAAGGGATCGCCCCACGTCACCACAGAGCCGTCGTTTCGGATGGCGGCGAAGGCACCCCCAGAGGTCGCGTGGATCTGCTGTACGC